GGGGGGAAGACCGGCCTGGGGGGGCGGGGGGCGGACACCGGCCACGCCGCTGCCGGCGCTGCCTCGGGAAGATCGAGGGGTGGGGGGGTGGAGGAGATGGGGCTCTTCTCCCCCCCGCGAGTATCGCGGGTCCCCCTCTTGTATAGTCTATTCTGGTGAAGATGTTATGTCTGGGCGAGAAGTTGGTAAAGTCCCTTTCATTTGGGTGCATATTTCTCCAAGCATCTATTAGATGGTGTTTTCCCAAGATTTGTTTGAGTTTGTTTTTAGTAGCTGGTCTGGATGTTCTGATGGTATTAGGTTTCCATGTTCTATCCATTGTTAAGTCCATCACATGATTCAAATCTGCACCTATTATTAATTCACCTTCTTGAAATTGCACCAGGCCTGCTAGAGTAGCCTCAATGAAGGGAATTTGTGTGTTGTTCGGTGCATAGATTGAGGCTAAAGTTATTTTCCTACCTTCCCATGCACCTTTGACAAATATTAATATTTTTTGCAATCAGAATCCCTGCCCCTCTGGACTTTGATGAGCCTTGTGCATGTATCTGAATTGGAAATAACACACTTTTTATTATGCAGTCATCTTGCAATTTCAAATGAGCCTCTTGTAAGAAGAGGATATCGGGTTTTCTTCTTCTCAAGTGTTGTATCAACCTTTTTCTCTTGATGACGTTGTTCAGGCCTCTAATGTTCACCGAGCAGAGTTTTATGACTGTCTGTGTCATTTTAATATATTAGAAGAAATATAAGAATAGTTGGCCCTTTATGGTGTTTTGCAAGATTCTGACTTCTGTTAAAGTGATGTCTCCTAACTTAACAACTGCTCAACTCAATGTCTGTTTATGAGGATTTTAGAGTGTCTTTATTTTCCCTTGTTTTGTTTTAATTTTTATTTATTTATGTAAGTAAACCTTTAGAAGTTTCTGTTTAAGTGTTTAGGGTGTTAAATTCTGTGATGTAGTAGTATGATGCAATATACTGTATCTAAAACTCAGAGAGTCTATCAAAGCACACTGACTATTACAAAAATAATAGCAAATTCCCAATGACCCCCTCCCCCTACCCCCCTCCCTTATCCCTTGCACTATTTACAAACAAAAGTAATACAAAGCACCAAGCTCATCTAGACCTCTTATCCAATGTAGGTATGATAAAGTGAAGCAATAGCAATGTAGGGTCAGCCTACCTGAAGCTCTGAGTCTTGAGGACTTCAGCGGCAAGCCAGTCAACGGATACTTCTATTGAGACGCTACTGCACCCCAACCCCCCCTTCCCCCTGATGAAGCATAGGACAAACTACCTGTATCGAAACATAAAGAAGCTGCAAAGCCGAAAGCAAGCAGGCTATAAGCAAACACTAAAATTCAAACCCAGCAGTAATCTCTTCAGGCAATTAAATAGTTAAATAGTTTCCTCTAGGGGCGGAATGTCTGCTGTATCTGTATCTTCTGGGTCAGGTGTTGCTGTTGGACGTATTGGGATTTTGGAGCTCTTTTCCGGGGTTGTCATTTGTGGTAACTTCCTTTTAAATGACTGCACTTTAAAATGTTGTAAATGCTGTGTAAAGAGGTAATGGACTATGAAGGGTTAATTCCTCACAGAGCCAGAGAGCCTTGAGTGGCAGGCTGCTCCAAGGGATCTGATTGGTTAGCATCAGTTGAGCAGAGAAAGACTTGAGTGCTATATGCTGAGGAGAGGGCAGTCTGAATTCAGCCCTGACTGAGAAGAGTCTAGTACTAACAGAGTTTGTGTTCAGCCATGACTGTGAGCAGTTTAACACAGACAGAGTACTGGGAAGGTTGGCAGGAGGAGTGGGTAATTAGGTGAAGACTCCCATTCAGGCCAAGAAAAGGGGATTGATCTTCTAGTGGGAGAAGAATTTCCCTACCCAGTTAAAACAGGGAGATCGCTCTGAAGAGTAGAGAGATCCCTGGTCAGATGTGTTTAGAAACAGCCTTTTGAAACCTGAAGAGTCAGTAAACCTTAAGAGTACTGGTGGGTTTATTGAAGGAATTTGAGTACTGGACAGAGTATCCCTGCCTTCTGGAAAATAAAAGAGTCAAATATGCTCAAGAAAGTATACTGGAGTGTTTAGGAAACACTAAAACAAAAGGCTTTCATCTTAAAAGATGAACAGATGAAAGAAAAGGAAAAGAGAAAGTCACTGTGAAAAACTTAAGAAACTCTCAGTTGCTTAAAACATATGCACTGTAGTCTGTGCCTGTACTGATTTACCTCAGAATTCTTTATTGAATTACCTCAGACCTTTTACCCCTGATTTCACTTGACCTTTTCCCTCTACACTGAATACAATATGTTATTTTCGGACTTTAAAAAGCCTCTTGAGTGCCATTTCGGTAGTTTAAGTTAAAGAGGGAGACCGTGTCCCTTCCCTCAAGTTCCTGTGATGAGCCAGCAGCAAAAAGCATACAGAGACAGAATGGGACAGCCACTGTTTTTTACAAAAGAATAAAATAGATAAATAAGGCTGCTCAGTCAGAAGGGGAATCTTGCCTCCAAGGGAGAGAAGAGAGCAAGGTCATCATAACATTGTGTCCCGTCCCCACCAAAGCTTCCCTTCACAGTTACCTGTTGACTGGAAAACCCCTGGGTTGCACTGACAATACCAGTTGGCAAAAGCTTCCATCATGCGGTCAATTTTCTGTGCCTCTCCAGGCAACCGGAAGCTCCACAGGAACTGCCTGTGAATGAAACAATGTCAGATTGCAAAAATCACTATCAGATTATTTCTTCCTACATAAGAGGAAAACCTTCCTCCTCCACAAAAAGTAGAAAAAAACATATCCTTCTAGGAAAGAGATATTATTTTCTACTGTCATTCAAGAAACTGGAGCTACAAAGAGCAATTTTTACACACAGCTAGAATTCTGCTTGAGAATCATTTTGTGAAATTTCTCAATTCCCCACATATAGATTATTTAAAGCAGTGATTTCTGCATACATATAATTCAGTGGGATTATTCATCTTGGGCCACAACTTCCAGTGTTCCCAAATTACATGTATGTTGTGTCTTGTTTTGCAATGAAGGAAGATTTATGCAACATGACACATATCTGTGTACACAGCAATTTACACAACAATCGTAAATGTGTAAATAAATCTCATCAAGTTCTGTGCACTTACTCCTTAGTAAGCATGTTTAGGATTACTGCCTGACTAAAATGCCACGCAAAATGTTTCTTGGATTGTATTTTGAAATTTAGTCATTCGGAACCCAGCCACCCCCCAATTTGTTCCAAAGGGTGATGTAAAAAGTAATGCAATGATGCAAGTTGATGGATTTCTGGGTATCAATCTTGCTGTGTGCAAAGCGACTCTAATCCAAGAATCCATCAGGCTGTCAGTGTGACTTCCTCCAACATTCTGCCATTTCATCCCAAACCCACAGAAATGTTTTAAAGCCCCTCTGCGGTGTCAGATGTCAAAAAGGAAAAGGAAAGAGAACTTCAAGAAGAAACTACAGGTTCTGATTGGCCTGTATTGTAATGGGTTTAGAAGTCAACGGGTTTAGAAAGGCATAACTCTGTTTAGGATTGCACTCTGTTAGAACATTACTGTACTGTATTATGGTTTTTAAAGTTTCAAATGCATCAGTTGCTCCGGGGTAATGTAGCGGACAGAGAGATGGCTGGAAAATATTGTAAATTACAAATAAACAGAATTGAATATCAGCATTCCAAGGGTTTGTGAAAGTGTTCTGTACTTCTCTACTGAGGGACAGCGCGGTGTAGTGGTTAGTGTGCTGGATCTGGTTCGAATCTCCACTTGGCCATAGACGCTTCCTGGGTGGATGGGAGAGCCAGTATGATGTAGTAGTTTAGAGTGTTGAATGAGGATCTGAGCGATCCACGTTTGAATCTCCACTCTGCCATGGAAGCTTGCTGAGTGACTTTGGGGGTCAGTCACACACCCTTAGCCTAACCTACCTCACAAGGATGTTGTGAAGTTAAAATGGAGTAGAGGAGAATGTTGTGAAGTTAAAATGGAGTAGAGGAGAATGGCATACACCCCTTTGGGTTCCCATTGCTAATGAGTCAGTTGGATTTGCGTGGGAGGCTCAGAATTCACCCACAAATACACACAGAAAACAGACATTTAGCAGTGTTAAACAAATGTGAGAATCCACAGCAAAGCACCCTACTCGGCAACACTGAGGTTTCTTCTCTCTAAACAGTTGGCACTTGCGGGACCTGAACTTCATTTAGCACAGGCAACTGCTGTTGTTGCCCTTCCAGGATTTTGCTCACCTGAGGGCTTGCACGAGGTTGAGGTTGGCAAACTGGTGGCACTCGACAAAAGCCTGAAGAACCTGGAGGTTCAATGGATCCCTGGTAGAAGGGAAAAGGACAGAGTGAGGCATGAGAAGACAAAGGGGAACTGTATGTGTTCAAGAGGGTTTTTCTACACAGGAAATAGGGTTCTGCTATAACCACATGGTTCAGAAAGATACTTGGTTAAAGGGTTAGAGACTGTGGTTTATACTACTGTTTATAGTTCATACAGCTTGTTGCTGTAAATAGGATCCTTCTATGTGATTTTTGCATCATTTAACACCGCATGTTAATAGTTATGCTTGCTTCTGTTCTGTTTTCAGATTACTGGCTGCTTCTACAATCCAAATTTCATTACACAGTTTATTGGGTGTCCCATCCTGTTGATTGTATAGAAGAAGAAGAAGAGGAGGAGATTGGATTTATACCCCGCCCTTCACTTGGAGTCTCAGAGCGGCTTACAAACTCCTCTCCCTTCCCCTCCCCACAACAGACACCCTGTGAGGTGGGTGGGGCTGAGAGAGCTCTGACACAAACTGCTCTTTTTCAAGCTCTGTGCCAGAGCTTGTGACTGACCCAAGTTCACATCAGCAGGTGCAAGTGGAGGAGTGGGGAATCAAACCTGGTTCTCCTAGATTAGAGTCCGCGCACTTAACCACTACACTAAACTGGCTCTCAGTTAGACTTACTCCGTGTAATCAGCCTTGAATCTGTTAAGTCGTGAGCTTAACAAAGAAGTCGGAGAGTGATTCAGCAAGAATGCGGTTTATTCTTCAGCTCTGTTACTTCTCCGGTACGGTACAACGATCGCCAGCCAGAACCCATCACAGATCGAACTATTTACACTGGCTTGTCGATATTTAAACACTCCCGGCTAATGTAGCCACACCCCCTGTACAATAAGGCAACCTATGAGGTTGAAGCAATAACAACCAATCACAAGCGATCCCGCTCTGCACGGTGATTGGCAGACACTTTCTGGGCTAGGGCTCCTATTGGTTACACTAGGATCCTAGCCCAGGATGAAGCTCAACATGACATCTCAATGGTACAGTTCACGAGGCAGTTATATACATCTCAATACATAACAAATCCCTCCCCCCTAAGCAAAAACACTATGTACAATCATAATCGCTTAGGTACATTGGCGCTCTGCGCGATCTCTGAGACCTGCGTAGCTGTACAGGTTCAGGGCACCTTTCATTCTGGGGAGTATTGCACGACTCTGGGACCTCAGAGTCAGGAGCACTTCCATCACTAGCAATGGGTCTTTGAGTAGGGGTCTGCCCTGGCTCGCGGACAGTACTTGGGCCCTCGGGCACATCAGAACTCACCTCCGGAAGAGGTTGTGGAAGGTCCTCGGAATCAGGTAGCTCGGCAGGTTGCGAGGTGGGGCGGCCAGTCGCCCACCGCTGCCTCAACTGGTCCACATGTCGCCTCCATTTGCGCCCGTCCGCAAGCTGGACTACATACATGCGGGAACCCACTACCTCAGTTACAGTGGCTGGAAGCCACGAATGTCCCCCAGCATAGTTCTTGGCGAACACAGTATCTCCGCACTCGTATGTGCGGACCTTATTGGGAACACTCTGCTGCTGGGGCCTCAAGTCGTTGAGGTCTGGATGCAGCCTATCCAGCAAAGACGCTAGGCGTCGCCCCATCAATAGTTCGGCCGGGCTGCGGCCTGTGGCAGAGCACGGCGTTACGTGTTGCCGTAGAAGGAATGACGCTAGTTTCACTCCCCAATCCCCGGATGTTAGCTTGGCAAGCGCATCCTTGGTCGTGCGGACCATTCGCTCTGCCTGCCCGTTCGATGCTGGGTGGAACGGGGCAGACGTAATTTGCCTGATGCCATTGTTAGCCAGGAATTGAGCAAACTCTTGCGACACGAACTGAGCGCCGTTATCGCTTACCAGGACATCAGGCAACCCATGCGTGGCAATTAAGCGGCGCAACACATTTATAACAGCAGTGGAAGTGGTGGTAGACATTGGCGCCACTTCCAACCATTTCGAAAAAGAGTCCACCACAATCAAAAACATTTGACCCTGTACTGGGCCCGCCAAATCTATGTGCAGCCTCGACCAAGGCTTTCCCGCCGATTCCCATTTCTGTGGGAAGGCGGTTGGCGGTTCGGGTCTCGCCTGCTGGCATGGCGTACACCCCCGTACCCACTCTTCAATGTCAGCATCCATCCCAGGCCACCATACATATCCCCGGGCCAGAGCCTTCATATGCACCATGCCGGGATGGCCCTCGTGTAGTGATTTCAGCACTTTTTCGCGCCAGCGTTGCGGTACAATCACTCTGTTCCCCCACAGCAAACAGCCCTTTGATACCGACATTTCGCTTTCCCGCGTTTTGTACGGTTTGAACTCCGGCTCCAACGTTCCTGCCGGCCACCCCCTCCACACCCAGTTAATAACACGACTGAGCACAGAGTCTTTTGCTGTCGCAGCAGCAATGTCCTTAGCAGACACAGGTGCCTCCGGCAGTTCCTCGATAGCTAGAATGGAGCAAGTAGGAGCAGGGTCCAAGTCCTGGCCGGGCAGAGGGCAGCGGCTGAGCGCATCAGCGTGTCCAATGGCCTTACCCGGCCTGTGCTCCAGGTCGAACTCGTAGGCTGAGAGGAACAAAGCCCACCGCAACATGCGTGCGGACATAACATCAGGGAGTTGCCGGTCCTGGGCAAAAATCCCTAGCAGGGGCTTGTGGTCTGTCACCAGTATGAATCTCCGTCCAAACAAAAAGTCATGAAACTTCTTAACAGCGGAAACTAGCGCCAAAGCCTCTTTGTCAATCTGCGCGTAGTTTCTTTCCGCTGCTGTTAGCGACTTGGAATAAAAGGCGATAGGGGCTTCCCGCCCGTCGGGCATTACGTGGCTCAGCACAGCTCCCACCCCAAATGGGGACGCATCAGCAGCTAACACAAGCAGTTTGTCCTCATCATAATGTGTTAACACTGCATCAGACGACAACAATTTTTTCACCCCATCGAATGCCCGCTCATGCTCTGGACCCCACCTCCATTTTGTGTCTTTATGCAGCAGGTTGTGCAATGGGGCCGCAATCGACGCCTTGTGGGGCAAGAAGGCGTGATAAAAATTAAGGAGTCCTAGGAAGGACTGTAACTCCTTCTTCCCTTGTGGCCGTGGGGCATTCTGGATTGCGGAGACCTTATCGTTAGTAGGATGGACCCCAAACTCATCCACCCGGAACCCCAAGAACTCCACACTCGGGACTCCCACCAGGCACTTCGACTTTTTTACCTTCAGGCCCGCATCAGAAAAACGTTTGAGCACCTCCCGCACTCGGCACAGCAGCTCGTCATCAGATTTGCCCGCTATTAAGACATCGTCAAAATAGGGCACCGTGCCCGGCACCCCCCTCAACAACCCCTCCATGAGGCTCTGAAAAATCCCCGGCGCAACATTCACTCCGAATTGGAGTCGATTTACTCTAAACGCCCCCCTATGCGTTACGATGGTCTGGGCGTCAGCCGCCTCTTTGGTCACGGGGAGTTGTTGGTACGCTTGGGCCAGGTCGAGTTTGGCGAATACCTTCCCTCCTCCCAGTGATGCCAGTACGTGGCTAATGACTGGTACAGGGTACGAATGCTGCTGCAAGGCTTTGTTAATCGTGCACTTGTAGTCAGCGCAAATTCGTATTGACCCATCGGGTTTAATTGGAGTAACAATGGGGGTTTCCCATTTACTACAAGGAACTGGTTCCAACACCCCTTGTTCAAGTAGCTTATCGAGTTCAGCCTCGATCTTTGCCTTGAACGGAATGGGCACTTTCCTGTATTTTAGGCGTATAGGGCGTATAGCAGGATCCAACTCAAAAGACACTGGGGGACCATTATACTTTCCCAATCCGCCCCCAAACACTTCAGGAAATTCAGCATATAATACAGCCCATTTATTTTCCACAACGTTATTAACTCCCACAACAGCAATACCCAGAGGCTCAAACCAGTCCAACCCGAGCAGGTTGGTACGGTTTCCCTCAGCGATCAAACATGAAAGCACAGCACCTTTCCCTTTGAAATTAACTGTGAACGTATCCCTCCCCGCCAGAGGGATTCGATTTCCCTGAAAATCGGACAATCGGATGTCCGCAGCTCGCAACCTCCGCCGACTTCGTGTTGGGAACAGCTTGTGCCACGTCTGCGTAGACAAAACGGTTACCGCCGACCCGGAATCCACTTCCATCTCACACGGTGCGCCGTCGAGATGGAGAATGACGTGGATCTTTTTTCGGCTCTCGGTGCTTAGGACGGTGGCTGTGGCTTCTGACGACAGGCTCCCTGTCATCTGGCGGGTGTCTTCTTTCGGTGCGGCTCGGGGACGTTGGTGCCGGCGGGGAGATGAAGCTGGTGAAGACTTGTTTGCGGCTCTGCATACCCGGGCAACATGCCCCCGCTTTCCGCACTTCCGGCAGTCGAGGTCTCTCGCCCAGCAACGCTCGCGCCGATGTTTCCCGCCGCAACCGTCGCATGCTGTACACTCGGCAGGTTTCCGTTGGGTCCGCTTGGACGTTCCCGCCTTCACTTTGCAGACGTCATCATCGGAGTCGCTGCTTGCGTCGTTAGCCCTCTGCTGGTGGACGCGTTGATCAGCTGTGGCGACCCGTTGTCTCACTTCCCTGGTTGACCTGTCAGCAGCTTCCGCGGCGACAGCCTCGGCATAGGCGATGGCCCACGTTAGTGTAGTTCTTGCGAACAAGCGTTGCTGCAGTCGCTCGTCTCTCAGACCACAAACGAGGCGATCTCGGAGGGCCTCCTCCACATTCGCGAAGTTGCAAGGCCGTGCTGCCTTGCGAAGAGCTGCAACGTACTCAGCTATGGACTCATTTGCGTTCTGGCCCCGCTTGTAAAAAGCGTGCCTGCAGGCGATTTCCGACGGCTGTGGAGAGAAATGTGATTTCAGCTTGTCTGTCAAGCTTTCAAAGGATACGGTTTTGAGGTCATCTGGTGCCACCAGTGACCGGGCGATGTCAAAAACGCTCTTTCCACACGAGCTGAGTAGAGTCGCCCTCTTCTTCTCCTCCGTCGTGATGTCATTCGCCTCCAGATGGAACTCAAACCTTGTGAGGTAAGAGTCCCAGTCTTCAGTAGTCGGGTCGAAGCATTCGAACTTCTGGCTGCTCGCGGCCATCGTTATGCGCACAGGCGGGGCCACCAGAGCGGGTGGAGCCTGTGGCTGGCCGGCCTCGGCGATTTCCTCGTTGTCCGACATGGGGTCTGCTCTAGCGGGGCTGCCTACCCGCACTAGGATCCCATCCTCGTTGCCAATTGTTAAGTCGTGAGCTTAACAAAGAAGTCGGAGAGTGATTCAGCAAGAATGCGGTTTATTCTTCAGCTCTGTTACTTCTCCGGTACGGTACAACGATCGCCAGCCAGAACCCATCACAGATCGAACTATTTACACTGGCTTGTCGATATTTAAACACTCCCGGCTAATGTAGCCACACCCCCTGTACAATAAGGCAACCTATGAGGTTGAAGCAATAACAACCAATCACAAGCGATCCCGCTCTGCACGGTGATTGGCAGACACTTTCTGGGCTAGGGCTCCTATTGGTTACACTAGGATCCTAGCCCAGGATGAAGCTCAACATGGCATCTCAATCAGGCGATTCACACATCAGTATTACAATCAAGTCTCAATGGCACAGTTCACATAGTAGTTATATACAATGCAATACATAACAGAATCCCAGTGAGAAAAGTGGACTTGAAATAAAGCAAATAATAAATAATACACACACAGACTTTCCCAGGGCCTGCAAACCATCAGTATGTTAACAGAGAAATGAGAAGACGGCACACTCACCTCTGTCCCAGGTAATCTCCGATGGCTGTCTTGTTGAGGCCTTCTCCTTTGTAAAGGAATCTGGCAATTTCTTGCACATCTGAGGACAACACTTTGTGCTCTGTCAGATATTGGAGCCCCTGCTTGGAGGAAACCAAGCCATTTATTACAGAGAGCCTACAGGGGGCTCTTGATGCTCTAGCAGCCTTTCTGCAAGATTTAAGGGAGCAAGCCTCAGCAGACGTCTAATCAGAAGCCCCATTTTATGCAGTTAGGGCTTACTCCCAGCCATGTATGCCCCAGTGACCCAACCACAGGGGCCAGAGCTGATCAGCTGGAGCCTGAAGAGGGGTGCTGAGTCCATGCCCACAGCCCAGGCAGTCCGGTCTTTTCAGGATGGTTTCCCCATTAGCCCAGAAGGGGCTCACAATAAAGCAGCTCCCGTGCAAATAGGCTCCAGAAAGTTAAAGTGGAGCTTTGCATTATGAACACCCATTGAGAGAGCAAACTGGGTCTGCCAGCTGAAAATCTTGACAGCTCCTCCACCAATAGACAAAGATTTCAGGAGAATCACAATGAAAAATGCAGTCAAGGCCTATGCTGGCCCTCATAGGGTTCCCAGGTACCTGAAGAAAAAGCACCCTATCCCTGTGATGAAGTTTTAATAGGATGTTATTTACCAGGTGATGTTTCTTTCTGTCATGATGAAAAACTTCAGCTGCCCATTTCGAGACATGAAGCCTCTCTTAAAGGGACAGCACACTTTTCTGTAGGCCTGCTGGCATTGCAACCCTATGCACAGCTGATACACTGACTGACTGAACAGATGTAGCACCCCTCCTCTTCCTTCAGTCACTGCAGGAATGGCTGTTTTATGCAGCTCTCACAAGGCCCAAATTCTGTTTCACAAGATGAGACCTGTCAATTGAATGCCCAAGAGGCTGGCTGCTAAACACTTGAAGTGGCTATCTCCTGGAGGAAACTATATGTAGAGATAGAGATGGCCCATCACTGGAGAAATGTCCTCCATTTTGAGACTTCTAGCACCCACAGTTGTGTCAATAAGGCCAGGCTTTTGACACTGCCTCAAAGTAACGGGTGCAAAACCTACCTGATCGTAGGAAATTCTAGATTTTTTTTGTGAGAAAACTGCATAAGGCACCACCTCCTTTTGGATTGGCTAAGAACCCCCCCCCCCCATCTTCCCCCTGGAATTCCTAAAATAATAGTTGGGATAAAATGGGATTTTGTCAGCCTTCATCCATTGAATTTAGGACTGGCCCAGCTTGCAAGAGAGGTATGAACTAGAAATATTGTCATTTTGGGGTTAGCTAAAAACTAATTTTCTTCTGGACTCCATATCCCTTTCCCTTCATCTTCATACCTCTGTGTGTACAAAGAAAACTTTTAAAAATTAGAAGCACAGCCTTGCTTAGCTTTCCCCATGCTTGCTACTCAGCTGATCATTAGTTGGAGAGCTGGAACCTAGAGGCCATATGGAGACAAGGCTTATGCCCTGAGGTCTCCCTGCAAGAAGCGGCTGAAGTAAAAGACTGTCTTGAAGAGGCCCTTCAGCACAGAAAGAGTTACAGGAAGAGCCAGTTTGGTGTAGTGGTTAGGAGTACGGACTCTAATCTGGGAGAACCAGGTTTGACTCCCCACTCCTCCACTTGCAGCTGCTGGTGTGACCTTGGACCAGTCACACGTTCTCTCAAAGCTGTTCTCGCATGAGCAGTTCTGGAAAGAGCTCTCTCAGCCCCACCTACCTCACAGAGTGTCTGTTGTGGGGAGGGGAAGGGAAAGGAGATTGTGAGCCACTCTGAGACTCCGAGTGAAGTGAGGGGAATAAATCCAATGTCTTCTTCTGATGACGATGATGAATGCCTGCCTGTTTCAGGGAGGCAAGGGTGGTGTGTAGAGCTCCTTTGCACAGCAGACCCTTTGGGGGCAGTAACAACTGCTAGGAAAGTTTCAGAGGGTAGCCATGTTGGTCTGCAGTAGGAGAGCTAGATTTGAGCCCAGTAGCACATTAAAGACCAACCAGATACAAGCATTCAAGAGTCAAGGCTTCCTTTGTCAGACAGAGGAGGTATGGAAAGCCAGCGAGAGGAGAAGAGGCTAGCAACGGAAAAAGGTTTCTGAAAACAGCTGTGGTTAAAATGATTCACAGTGTTGCTTGTGGTTTTACTTCTAAAACAAGTGCTATGGATCCTGTGGAGGAGGGAGGGGCAAAACTAGCAGATCTCATTGTGCCTCCCCAAAAAAAAAAAAAAAGGAATGTGTTTTTACTGTTAAGTTCCAATCAGAATCTCTAACAACCAGAGTTGGGTTTGTCCCTAAGGCTGGGAAAGGGGAGCCGCTCTGCTCCTCATCAGGAAGAATTCTCAAGATGAGGTCAGCACTAGCACCCCTTGTTCTGTTCCTTACCTAGGAGGTCACACAGTCAGACTTTAAACCCCTAAGGGCCCTGGCACTGGATGCCTTCTCTCATGTGATGCTTCCTATCAGATAAGATCTGTAACAGAGGAGAGGGGGCGGTCGCCTTTTTTATGGTGGTGCCTTGAGTAATGAGGGGCCTGGCTGAAGCCAAACTAAATGTTAATGCCAGGGGACAAGTCAACAATTTAGCCAGGCATTTTTGTGTAATTTGCTGGTTGGGTGTAACTAAACTGTGTCTCTTGAGTTCTCCACTTCTGCCTTGGAACATCTTTTTTATTGATTTTGTTTTATTCTAAAGAGGAATTTTTGTTTTGCTATTTAGTGATTTATTTCTGTTTTACAATCCGGATAGCAGTTTTGCTGCTGCTTCCAGTGACTCTGCTGTGGTGAGGTTATCTTTTGTTATTTTTGCGGCTAGTGCTTTGGATGGCCTTTTATCCTTGCATTTTTCATGAGCTGCCCCAGGAATCAATTTGGTTACAGGGGCTGGGTTAAAAATAAACAAAATATTAAAATAAGTAGCCACCATATGGCTACAATAGTTCATTTCTCATTGCCTTCATTGGCAGTTTCCATACAACCATTACTGTGTACCCCACCCCATGCTGTGTTTCTTTGAGGAAGGCAATTTTAATCTGATAAACTATCTGATAATATGAGATGCTATGAGTTTCGTAATATATTTATGCAGGGCAGTGTGTGCTTTCTTCTTAAAAGCAAGCAACATCCCTTTATACACACAGTCCTATATAGACTAGAAACTTGATTCTGTGATTCTTAAGAACCCAAACAGTATAACTAATGACCAACTTCTGCACTTGTACAGTGCAAAATAGACCAAAGTCTGATCTTACCTTAGTTGGGTCCATGTTAAATTTCTTCCTCCCAGTGGACAGAATTTTATCCCTCTGGATTAGTTTGCTGCAAATACAAGGATGGAGATTTGAATACAGAACAGATCAGAGAAGGGCATTTTTCTGTCTCTTGAATGTTTGCTGGTTTTCAGTTTTTTAAAAAATCCCACATTTTCCCCATTCTGCTTCCTTCAGAACCATTTCACACAACCATTACATCACTATTTCATTATACATATTTGGTAGAACTGATTGATCGTGTATTATAGATAAACATATTCATTGCTCACTGCTTTTAGATTAAGCCAGAATGTACAGCCAAAGTGTATGTCATGCACACAGGAATCTGTAACAGTAGCCCAACCACCTTTTTCCTGGGAGGGGCCAATTTGGGACAGGAAAACAATGGGCAGGGAAATGGTTATGTATCCCCTTCTTAATGTAGCTTCTCCAAACCCAATTGCCTCTTCCTAAAGATACTTTTCATCCCCCAAAAGGATAGCCCAGGCTAGCCTGATCTCATGAGATCTTGGAAGCTAAACAGGGTTGGCCCTGGCTACTATTTGGACGGGAGACCTCCAAGGAATACTAGGGTTGTGATGTGGAGGCAGGCAATAACAACCCACCTCTGAACACTTCTTGCCTTAAAAATCCTATGGGGTTGTCTCGCTTGATGGCCAAAAAAAAGCCAATGGGATCACCATTACATGTCCACCAAGTTCACAGCTGAAGAACTAAACAAGGGGGTTTCCTGATCCATTGCTCTTAATGCATGCACTACATCATCTCTCTGTAAACTGCTCTGAGGAGAAGGAGCTGTTACAAGAACCTGAATCTAGGAGGTGACAACTCAGACCCTTCAAGGGAGAAGTCAGAATCAGACAAACTACCCCAGGTAATTGATAAGGCCAGCTTTTGAGGAGGTCAAAAGCACAATCTGAGGCTGTTAATAGTGCCAGAATGCACGACTCTAACCTAAAGCATTGCCTCTTTGAATTCTCTGCATTTTCACTCAATAAATGGGGCTCTGGCACCGAGAGCTGGCCTTGCTTGAGGACATAAGATCCCAGTTGGCCTTGGGCATTTATTAGATCAACATCTGTTGTCCTCAGGAGCTCTCCCTGGTCCTGATGTTCCCTGGTCTGACCATCTGTAGGCATCCCAGAGCCTGCAGAGCATCTGCAGCTACTCTAATCTCAGAGTAGCTGCTTATTCTTGCTGCTGCTCCTGGCTGCTGCAGTGGCTTCTCTTTAATGAAGGACAGTTCCCTTTAGACCTTTCCCAGCACCATGTGGACTCTCAGCTCAGCTATCTTCTGGGAAGTGTTCTAAAAAGGACTGAAAGCCTGGACTCTGCAAAAGGCCATCAGTCCATTGGTATTCAGAATAAAGGACAACCTTACCATAGATCTTCCATAATACATGATCAATCAGTTCTACGAAATATGTATAATGAAATGGTGATGTAATGGTTGTGTGAAATGGTTCTGAAGAATGGGGAGAATGTGGGATTTTAAAAAAACCTGAAAACCAGCAAATATTCTTCATAGGGGGCTGGTTCCTCACCTGGACTGTGACTGCTGGAAATGATCTATCTCAGCAAATACTGCAGCAATCTCATCTTTTAGCTTCTAGAAGAGAGAGAGGGAATAAGGGGGGAAATCAGGGAAGAACATGATGAATCCTTTCCTATCATAAGAACAAGAAAAAGAAGAGCCTTGTCTCACACAGTGGCCAACCATTAATTGCCGAAGCCTTTTGTGTGGAAAGGATGCCTGTTCTTTTCAGCAATGATTAGAAGAGGAGGAGGAGAGGAGATTGGATTTATACCCCGCCCTTCACTTGGAGTCTCAGAGCGGCTTACAAACTCCTTTCCCTTCCCCTCCCCACAACAGACACCCTGTGAGGTGGGTGGGGCTGAGAGAACTCTGACACAAACTGCTCTTTTTCAAGGACAGCTGTGCCAAAGCTTGTGACTGACCCAAGGTCACATCAGCAGGTGCAAGTGGAGGAGTGGGGAATCAAACCCGGTTCTCCCAGATTAGAGTCCGCACACTTAACAACTACACCAAACTGGCTCTCAGATTAGCAATTCTTTGTTATGAAAATGGGTGTTGGGCTCATTTCAGTCCTTTTTTAAACGTCAGGAGTTGATAGAATGATCAAAGCATTTTACAAACAACAATACTACGTATGAAGCTGCCCTGTACTGGGTCAGACTACTAGTCTATCAAGGTCAGTATTGCCTGCTCTGAATGGCAGCAACTCTCCAGGGTCTCAGGAAAGAGGGTCTTTCACAACATGCACAACCCTGTCCTTTTAATTGGAGATGCCAGAGACTGAAGCTGGGACCTTCTATATGCAAAGCAGATGCTCTGAGCAAATTTGTAGGGCAGACTCAGCCCAAGTAAGTGCATTTCAAGTTGTTACCTAATGTGGTAGGTTGCTTCCATTCCCCTTTCTCAGATGAAGAATGTTTGCTGAGTGGCAGTGAAACAAGTGAGTCAGAAACTGAACAAAGATAGTTGAATACAAGGCTAACAGTACAGCACAGATCTATCCACATTGTCTACTAGTTGAGATCAGTGTTCCCTCTAAGCTGAGTTGGTGTGAGCTAGCTCACAGTTTTTTAGCCTCCAGCTCACAGATTTTTGCCTTCGCTCAGGAAGGATGACCCCAGAGCAAACTGATTTATGCAATAGCCAGATTGCTCGCTCACAACTTTAATGCCAGTAGCTCACAAAGTAGAAGTTTTGCTCACAGGACTCCACAGCTTAGAGGGAACATTGGTTGAGATGGCGTGCTATATGATGTAACAGCAGACAATTTCAGACTAAGTAATCTTCTGGCATCACACGATGGTATGGCTCGGTCTCAAAGCTGGGGCCGGCCCATAACCACAGATGTTCAATTAGGCGGCTCCTAATTGAAAGCCTGGTAAAAGAGCTCTGTCTTGCAGGCCCTGCAGAACTGTAGAAGATCCCGCAGGGCCCTGATCTCTTCCAGGAGCTCATTCCACCAGTATGGAGCCACCATTGAAAAGGCCCTGGCCCTATTAGCAGTGAGCCTGGCATCCTTAGGGCCTGGGAGGGTCAATTGGTGGTGTGATCCCGACCGTAGTGCTCTCTGGGGTATATATGGGGAAAGGCGGTCCCTTAGGTATGTTGGACCCTGGCCATATAGGGCTTTAAAGGTGAGTACCAGCACCTTGAAGCGAATTTGGTGTGCTATTGGCAGCCAGTGCAGTGCCTTCAGTGCAGGCCGGATGTGCTCCCATCTAGGAAGGCCCATCAGAAGCCTGGCCACGGCATTCTGCACTAGCTGCAGCTTCCGGATTTGTGACAAGGGCAGCCCCATGTAGAGAGCATTACAGTAGTCTAGTCTCGAGGTGACCATCACATGGATCAGTGTAGCCAGGTCATTGTGGTCAAGAAAGGGAACCAACTGCCGAATCAGCCAGAAGTGGTAAAAGGCCGACTTAGCAGTGGCTGCTACCTAGGCCTCCATTGTTAAGGAGGTATCCAGGAGCACTCCCAAACTCCTAACCAATGGTGCTGGCGCTAATGGTGCCCCACTGAAGGTCGGGAGTGGGATCGCTACCCACGAACTGCCCCAACTCAGGCACAGGACCTCCGTCTTCACCAGGTTCAGCTTCAGCCAGCTCAGTCTAAGCCAACCAGCCACAGCTTGCAGTGCCCGGTCCAGATCTTTCAGTCTGGAGTCTGACTGGCTGTCCAGCATCAGATAGAGCTGGGTGTCATCAGCGTACTGGTGACATCCCATCCCATACCTCCAATCTGGGCAAGGGGGTGCATGTAGATGTTAAATAACATCTGGGAAAGCACTGCCCCTTGAGGCACTCCGCACTCAAGCAGGTGTCTCCTGGACTGCTGTTCCCCTAGCACCACCTTTTGTCCCCAACCCTGGAGAAAGGAAGCAAGTCATTGGATCCCCATGTCAGTGAGGCAGTGGGTCAGCAACTGGTGGTCGACTGTGTCGAATGCAGCCGACAGGTCCAACAACAGTAGTACTGCTGAATTGACCCAATCCAGATGCCTCCGGAGGTCGTCTGTAAGAACGACCAGCGCTGTCTCTGTCCCATGTCCTGGACGGAAGCTGGACTGGAAGGGATCTAATATGGAAGTGTCATCTATAAAGCCCTGCAACTGTATCACCACCGCCCTCTCAATTAATTTGCCCAAACAGGGCAAATTGGAAACTGGCCGATAGGTAGCCAATTCGGCCAGATCCAGAGATGGTTTTCCCAGGAGAGGGCGGACCATTGCTTCCTTGAGTGCCCCCGGGAACAGCCCCTCAGAGAGGGACTTTTTGATCATTTCCCTCAGGGCACCTCGGAACCCTTCATGGCCAGCTTTAATAATAGCCAGGAAGGGACCAGATCAAGGCTGCACGTGGTTGGGCGTACAGCTGCGAGCAATCTGTCGACTTCCTCCAGGCTGAGCGGGCTGAAATGATCCAAAACCAAAACTGAAGACGTGCAAGGGGCCTCGAGTTTTAAAAATCAGTAATTGCTATCATGCTATAGCAATAGCCAATTAAAAATAAAACAACCAACCCCCTGAAAAAGTCCTCTGGAGGTACAGCATGGAAAAGAAGACAGGAAAATGGCAGCTGATGGCGGGAAGTGTGCTGAAAACTCCAGTGCAGATGTTCTGTGGCCAGTGTGAATGCCTCGATGTTAGCAGCAGTGATGAATGCAAAACAGCGAATCCTTGCCCTGTGGATGCAGCCCCTGAATGGCATTTTGTGTGTGTGTGGAGCAGAGGTTTTGGCTTCGTGCTCATGATAAAGCTCGTTATTATTCAGACACGACATTGACCCATCTGCAGAAGGGAAGCAGGCCTCACCTGAATATCCTCCAGCAGTTCTGTCCTGTGCTGCTTGATTACCTCAATCTCAGCCTCTTCAGTCTCACTCAAGTCAGATGAACCTGGAAGGAAGCCACACAAAGAACCTTTTTACCCCCATGAAGTCAAGATAAAGCAAGATTAAGCCATGGTTTGTGCAATAAACTCTGGTTGGTCTACCAGATGAATGCAACATATTCTGGCTTGTGCATAAATCCTAGTGTGTCTGCTTCTCACCTACCCCTTCTTTCCCAGCAGGGAGGACATCCTTCTTGCCCTGCCGTCTCTGTGGCCAGGTGGCAACAAGAAGCAGCGCTGCTCAGCAAATTCAGACCTCCCCTCCAGTTACAGTTAGTAAAAACTGGCTATTCCAATAGCCACTAGGCCTCCCTAGAGCCTGTAGGCCGCACTATCATAGGCCTAGGATCGTGACAAAAAGGTTAACTCCCATAAAGGGTAGCTCATACTTTTTCACTGTAAATCATGCCTTGAATGGCAAGTTGTCCACTTTTAGTAAACATTTTGTGGGAAAGTTCTGCACAAATAATAAGTTCACACTCAGTGGGAACATAGCCCTTAGGTTTTAAAACGTGTCTTCTATTAATATTTATATTTATTTATAAATTCAATTTATAGCCCTGCCCTCCCCGCAGCGCGGGCTCAGAGCGGCTCACAAATAGGCACAAGCCAACAGATAAAACAAATTAAAACCATATAAAATCATTACTACATTTACATCAAAAGAACTGCTCCAGCTGTTCCAGTCTGATCTTCCGCAAGATAGTACTTCCACTCTCAGTTCCACGCAACACTGTCGTTCTCTCTTCCCAGGGCCAGACAATACTGATGGTAACATCACGATGGTACAGTAGTGGTGGCGGCTCCTACTTGAAAGCCTGGCGGAAGAGCTCCGTCTTGCAGGCCCTGCGGAACTGCACAAGGTCCCGCAGGGCCCGGATCTCCTCCAGGAGCTCGTTCCACCAGGCAGGAGCCACCACCGAAAAAGCTCTGGCCCTGGTAGCAGCCAGCCTGGCCTCCTTGGGGCCTGACATCATCAGGAGGTGTTGTGTCCCCGACCGTAGTGCCCGTGGAGGAACATATGGGGAAAGGTATGTTAAAAAACTAAAAACCTTTGTTTTCCCTTCCTCCATCTTACATGAGGCTGAAACATTTGTGGATTTGCAGAAACGAGGGGGGCCTTGCTACCAAGTAGTGGCTTCACACAGAAGTAGCCTGAAAAGTTGTGCTCGGTTCCGCTTTCAGGCGTAGGAAGTTGGGCAAATGATGTCAGAGATGAAAAGACCACGGTATGACTCAGTTAAGACCAAACCAAAGCAGAAGTAGTGGTCTTGGGGTGCCAGTTCCTACAGTTAAATAAAGGTTGCTTAGAGCACTCGGCAAGAGTCCAGCAGCAAATGGGAAGCTCTTTGCTGTAACCGAAAATAAGCCTCAGTGTTCAAATTCATATCTCTCTTAAAAATTGAACTGGATATTCAGAATAGTTTTTGAATTGAACAGGTTTTTAAAAACCAAAGTTTTCTCCGGTGAGAGGCAAAGTCTTCTCTCTGCTCCATCACTGGCAGCCAAGGAGCAAAGGCCTTTATGGGTATTGCCCCAAACCTCTGGACCCTTCTGCCTAAAGAGATTAGGGAAGGTGCCTATTTGTTCGGGTCCTGGGAAGGGTATAAAACATTTCTTTTCTAGATACTATGATTTTAACAGGTGTATTTATTTGTTACTTGCTATAGCCTGTTTTCCAGGAGCTGCGGTGGCTCAAGTGGTTAAGACGCTGAACTGCAGGCTGTGGAAGGTCAGTAGTTCAGCGGTTCAAGACCCGGGTGCCGCAAGACAGGGTGAGCTCCCGTCTCTAGTTCCAGCTCCTGCCAACCTAGCAGTTAGAAAGCAAGAAATTGCAAGTAGATAAATAGGGACCACTTTGGTGGGAAGGTAACAGCGTTCTGTGCGCCTTGGTGTTTAGTCATGCCGGCCACATGACCACGGAAACGTCTTCGGACAGCGCTGGCTCTTCGGCTTTGAAACGGAGATGAGCACCGCAACCCTAGAGTCGGATTCGACTGGCTTTCGAGCAAGGGAACCTTTACCTTTACCTATAGCCTGTTTAGAGGGATTTTGTTATTACTTCCCATTACAATGAGCTTATCAAACAGAGATCCATATAGACATTCAAAATAAAGAAAGTAAACTGGAACACTTAAGGCTGTTTTAGGCATGATTTTCCCTTGGCAAGCACATATATCTCTATGCTGTAAAGAATCTTGTGCACTCTATCATTTTATCTTCTCGTGTCTGGATAGAAATGGGAAGTCCACTCCGGTCGCCCTGGAAACTTTTTTCTCTATTTTGGATCTCACGTGCAGGACCATTGCTAAATATACAGTAGAAAAGAGGAAGCTATGACATAGTTCTTTGGAGGGATAAGGGGATGGAACAAATAGTGCCCCCCCATACCACAAGATTTGATTGGCTGAAGGAAGAAAATGGCCTTCTCTTCTGGAAATATCGGCATCACTGATCTACATTTAGGGACAATTCACATTAGCGCAAGCACAGCTGGCACATTAAGCCATGCATACTTTCCCATGCCACCAGTTATCTTTCTCCACCTTTTTGATCCTCAGGATTGGTTCTCCAGCCAAGCTACCAAAGTGTCCTTGTGGGACACCACAGTGAGGAGGGGGCTGCCATTCCATAGAAGCTCTGCTCACCCCTGCCAGTTCATGAGGGGGCTGCCAGTTCATGAGTGGGCTGCCAGTTCATGAGGACATGGTGGCCATTACCAATACCTGTTATCATTTCTACCTTGGCCAAGCACCTGTGGTATTGCCAGAATTGTTGGGGGGGAGGGGAGAGCATGACTAGTGCACCTTGCTTTGGGAAGACAAGGTGTCTTGAACCTGCAGAAAATGAAGGCCATTTGCAAATAGGGTTCTTGGATGAAAGCACGCAAGTGGTTGTGTGATCCATTGTTCACTACCAACGTGACCAGGGAGGAGGCAAGATGCTTACAAGAGTTCTTCATAAAGGCAATGACTGGCCTGTTCTCTGGAAGCAGTGGGGCCTGCAGCCAAGTTACACGCTGATGCCCAAATAAATACCGTCTACTGAGGAAGATTCACATCTATCAAGGAAGGGTCTGAGAAAAATGTAAAAGGTCAGCAATACTTTTTGCGTGGTGTCAGTAATGTGTCCGTGCAGATTAATATGATAGTCCAAGGGAATTGGTTTTATTTTCTAATGTGAGGAATCCTGTCAGACTGAGGCAAGCATCTATCTAGTCCAGCCCTCTCCTGGAATCTATCCTGTGCCTCTGGCACACAGACAACTTCATTTTGGCCATCGTGGCTGATGGCTCTTAACAGACCCACCTGCATGAATTAATCTGAACTCCTCATTGGGCAGCCACAAATTCTATTGTTATGAGAAAGGGTGACTATATTTGCATATTTAAATGTTTATACTTTGCTTTTCTCCCCAGTGGGGACCCAAAGCAGCTGGCGAGATTGTTTTCCCTTGTTCCATTTTATCCCCAAACAACAATCTTGTGAGGTTGGTTAGGCTGAGGGGCGGGTGATCGGCCCAAGGCCATCCAGCAAGCTTCCATGGCAGAACAAGGGTTTGAACCTGGGTCCTCGAGATCCTAATTCAACATACTAACCACCATACCGTGCTGGGAAAAGTGTTCACAACAGTATGATTTTTGTCAACCTCCCCCAACCTAGTTGTCTTTTTATAAACTAGGAAGCCAAATGCTCATGGGACAGGTGTTCTAACCTCTCCATCATTTCTGGGTGCCTTTTTCTGGACTTTTCCCAGCTCTGTTTTGACCAGGGTAATTTGAACTGTGCACAGCATCCCAAATGTGGTCACACCACAGAAGAGCTTTATGGATGACAGAGGACATTTTATTTTCAGTCCCTTTCTTAATAATTCCTGATATAATTTTTGATCTTTTTCAATTCCAGTTATCAAAGAATGAGTGAAGAAATAGGATGATTTGCCCATCTGACCAATCAGAAGGAAAACAGGAGAGGAAGAAACAGATATTCAGCATAGTTCACACATGGGAAAGGGAAAAGGGACAAAGAAAAATATAAGCCATATTTAAAGCACATAAAGAAGGTCAGTGAGCTTAATTTATGCTCTTTCATTTCTTTGTTGTTCCTTGGCAGGCGTTTTGTGGATTCGGTTTTTGGGCAGATGGTGGATAATCTGATTGTTTTTCCCCTCGAAATTGCTAGCTGCTAGATATCTTAAAAAAGAAACCATTGACAAGAGGATCTGCCTTTCACAGCTTGATCCATCAATAGATAGAAATCTAACATCTGCTTTGAAGAAATCCTCTGAAGATCAATCTCTGTCCAGGTTTGTGAGCTGAAGAACGGAAACCCACAGAAGCGACACAAAACTCTGACTTGGGTAGTGTCTATTTTCCCACGCAAGGGAGCTCTCTGCCAGCTGGCCCTAGGCAGGAACCCAGCAGGATGCTTCAGACTCAGACAGCGCTAGCATGAGGGCTGTCAACTCCAGACTGGGAAATTCCTGGAGATTTCAGCCTAAAGCCTGGGAGGGGAGGGGAGGGGAGGGAAGCAGGGATGTGGTGCCATAGAGTCCCCCCTCCAAAGCCTCCCTTTTCTCCAGGGGAACTGATCTCTGTAGTCTGGAGAACAGCTGTAATTCCAGCAGCTCTCCAGGCCCCACCTGGAAGTTGGCAACCCTATCTACCACCCTTCCCTTTCTAGGCCATTATGCTTTTTAACAGCTATCAGTGTCTTCAGTCAGAGGGCAGTTGCTCTGAGCTAATGTCGCAAGTGCCACAGGGGCTGATTCAGATCAGAACTGTCACTTGAGAGGGGAAGTTCCTTCACTTTCTGCCCCCCCCCCCCCCCCCCTTTTTCCTTTTTTTTTCCCTGTGGGGGGGGGGGGATCTTTTTTTTCCGGGGGGGGGGGGGGGGCTGCATGTGTCCTGCTGGGCTGCACATGCAGTCCCCCAGTGGGGCAAACAACATCCCTGAGGCCACTTCATGTTAGGAGAGTATGGGTGGTGGTGGTGGAGAGGAGCTGAAGCCCTTCTCTTCCCATGCCACAGTCCCAATATGTAGGTGGCGGCTGGAGATCTCCTGGGATTACGACTGATCTCCAGATGACATAGATCATCTTACCTGGAGAAAATGGCTGCATTGGAAGGTGAACCCTATGGCATCATATCCCTTTGAAGTCCCTCCCCTCCCCAGACCCCTCCCTCCTCAGGCTCCACCCCCAAAATCTCCAGGTATTTCCCAACCCAGAGCTGTCAACCCTACCAATATGAATCAGGCCCCCAAGGTGCTTTAGAAATTAATTCCCAGCTGTTGCCCTGTGACTGAAGGCAATGAAACTTGGGCCGGGGAAACCATCTAGTTTGGAACTGTCTAGTTTGGAACCGGGACTGAGTCAGTCCAGGAGAACAAAGGGGCTTCTCGGGCTTGTGGATGGGGGGAAGAAGAAGAGGAGATTGGATTTATACCCAACCCTTCACTCGGAGTCTCAGAGTGGTTTACAACCTCCTTCCCTTCCTCTCCCAACAACAGACACCCTGTGTGGTAGGTAGGGCTGAGAGCTTTGAGGGAACTGGTCGTGAGAGAACAGCTCTGAGAGAACTGTGACCGACCCAAGGTCACATGGCTGGCCGCATGTGGATGAGTGGGGAATCAAACCAGTTTTCCAGATTAGAGTCCGCCGCTCTTAACCACTACACCAAACTGCAGTGGGGGGGAAGGGGACAAGTTTTCGCCTTCCATGTCTTTAGAAGCAGGTCTTGAGAAATGTTGTTTGTTTGGGAGTCAGAGCTGCTGCCCTTTGAGTGGGAAAGGATTGTGGACAGTCCTTCTCTCTAGCTAGTTTCCTCTCCCTAAGATTGCCAGCTGGCCAGGGGGGGAAAAATCCCCTTTAATAGTATTTGGAAAGGCGCAGTTGAAGATTTTCATTGCTTGATAATGGCTTGCGGATCAGACTGATATTAAAAGGACAGCTAGGGGGACCCATTTAAAAGTTGCAAAGCCTACACCACACCTGGCATGCAAAGCTATTGAAATATTATTTGGGGTAAAAAAGGTAAAGGTTCCCTTGCTTGAAAGCCAGTCGAATCGGAATCTAGGGTTGTGGTGCTCATCTCCGTTTCAAAGCCGAAGAGCCAGCGCTGTCCAAAGACATTTCTGTGGTCATGTGGCCGGCATGATTAAACACCAAGGCGCACGGAACGCTGTTCCCTTCCCACTGAAGTGGTACCTATTTATCTACTTGCAATTTCTTGCTTTCGAACTACTAGGTTGGCAGGAGCTGGAACTAGAGACGGGAGCTCACTCCGTCACTCGGCACACTTGGGTCTCGAACTGCTGAACTACTGATCTTCCACAGCCTGCAGTTCAGCGTCTTAACCACTTGAGCCACTGCAGCTCCCTATTATTTGGGGAGGGATTCACAAATAAGCAGGAGTAAATTGGCAAGATTTTATTCCATGCCTAGTCTTCTCCAGGAAGTAGCAACCAGGGCTGCTGAAAACTACCATGGTGGACCCACAAAAATGTTCTCTGGCCCCCCTTCACATTCAGAAGAACCAGAAGAACAGAGATGCTGCCACTATTCCCAGAAACACCCTGTCCAAACCTCTGGGCTCTGAGGACAACTTGACCTACTGTACGTCTGTACCCCTGTTCCCTCCCTCTCAGCAGCCCTAGGTCAACCTAAAAGAAAGGCTTAGGGAGTTTCTCTATAACAATAAATGCAAACATTTCTGCTATGCTAATACCAACTTCCTTTTATTAGTTCTTTATCCCAAGAACTTTCCAGAGAAGTTCTGTTCACATGTTACAGTGAACACATGTACATCTTTCTGTAAGAAAGAGCCAACACATGTTTACTTTACAAATGAAACTGAGGGCCAGTACCAGGGAAAATGTGGGGTTTAAATCAAATGTTGAGCTGTACATGAGATGAACATAACATGAGAATGGATGTATAAAGAAATGCAAGTGTAAACTGTACATAGATCACTCATAGGGCTAGTGTGAAGGCTGTATAGATAGGCCGCATCTTGATCAATTCTGAAAAATCATGCACATTTATTTCCCTTATCTGCTCCCCAAAACTCACAAACAATTACTTTCTTCACTCTACATGGCTTTTATGGCATCCCTTCCATGTGTAATAGGTGCGCTGGATCTGCTAGGACATACAAGGTTAAAGCCTACTTAGATCTATGGGGGGGGAATTAACCCTTTGAGATAATGATAGATTGTTCCAGGTCAGGCCAGGGTCTCGGGGGGGGGGGGGGCATTTCCCTTTCTGCCCAAGAGGGAAGCCTGGGTTTTCTAGTCTTCACAAAAAAATGGGCCTCTCCCCTCTGAATATTCCTGGTAGGTGGGTGAAGGGGCTTGTGATGGGGTGGTGGTAGAAACTAACACAGACAGCCTCTAGGAGTTGAAGATAGTAGTTTAAGCCCATGCAGATAAGAAAATGCTGGGGGTTAAGGGAAAGGAAACACAGACTATAGAAACAAAAGAAAATACAGTTTCTGGTTAACTCCAAACTTGGGATACTTGATTCCTAGCCATTGATATTAGGGCAGTGGAGACGCCCTCATCACTGGATCTGAAGCAACAGTTATGATCATCTTACCTGTTAGCAACTTCAGGTATCGTTCCATGTAGTTTATCCTATCCTATACTATGCATCGTTTATATAGACTATATTTCTGGTATAGTTTTTCTGGTGCAAAGGAGGACAGGGAAACCTGTGCCTTTTCAAAGCTCTGTAGAGAAGAGGGGATTTCAGCTTAACCTGAATGACAAGCTGTGTCCCCTGAAAGAAACCTTGTAAGTTTGGAGTTAGCCAGAAACTGTATTTTCTTTTGTGTCTATGTTCTGTGTTTCCCTTTCCCCAGCCTGCAGCATTTGCTTATCTGCATGGGGTACCCTGTTCTGGGATCAAAATGAGGCACAGATCAAACCTGCTGGGTACATAATAGATCTTGACATTCTGTCTCCTGTGTATGACATTAGGGTTGTTGGCTTATTGTTCTGACCTAAGCTGGGGGTGGGGGCACAAAACATCTGTCTGAACTGGAAAAGAAACCCTGCCATGTGTTAATTAAATTTTATCATCTCATCTGATTGTTGATACTTTAAAGGGGTTGCTAAGACCCAACTTTAATAGTTCCTCTTCTAAACTGAAACCAAGAAATTGTGGCTTTGTGAAGCACTCCTACACAAGAACCATGGAAAAAACATTAAAATTGTACAATTCTAGCCTTCTGGATTGTCCTTATTCTAACATTTTCCTTTCTCTCTCATGTACTTTACTGAAACACCAGTATGCGGAATTATACCTTCCTCTCGCAGGTATAATGTGTGCTCATCATTACTTGAAAATTACACAAATGCAGATACATTCAGAAACCCATGCACATTTACTCAGAAAGAAGTCCCAGGTGTTTCAGTGGGACACACTCCCAAAGAAGTGGCACAGCCCCAAAGGTAGTAAACAGCCTTGTGTCAAAATGGCACAGGGGCTGGATTCTCTCCCTTTAAGTCACAGATTCTTTAGAGATATTGGAAAGATTTTTTAAAGCCTAAACAAGACTGGCAGTCCTTAAAGTCACACCCTAAAATAAGAGCAACTCCCACTTTCTCATTTCCCTTTTAACACTTTTGGTTGAGTTGATTGTGCTTCTATCAGATGAAGTCATTTTGGATTCCCAGCACATATACAAAGAAGATAGACTAAAGGCATGCTCAAAATTTCTTTTAAGAGAAGACTTACTGGTGGGACAGACATCCATCGTGAAGTCTCACAGCGGCCCCAGGTACAGTGTAGCTGCCGGTTTCTCGTCCCCTTTGCTTCTTCAGAATTAAAGTGACTTCAGTGCAATCGTAGCTAAACAGCAGGCAGCAACCCAAGAGATCTGCTCTGGATTGTGACTCCTCCCTTTCCTCCTGGTTCCTCCTCATCTGTTCTGATTGACAGAGGAAACCATTTGCTCATATTGCAACATGAACGTTAATGAACTTTGGGTGTTTCCTGGAAAACCCACAGTGCCGGTGCATCATGTCCACAAGAGGGGCCATTCTGTTCTTGTCGAGCAGGGTCTTGAACCTCAGGATATGTACCGTGAGCCTTAGCATGGCCAGAGCAAAGTATTTTGTCATTCCAAGGAAGGTGCTATAGCCAATAATAAAGAACACCAGAATGAGGAATGGCTTAAAGCAACATTAATATGAAAAGCAACTAACCCGTCTAAAACAGCAGTCTCATAGAGGGCAGTCATATCTTCTTAAGCCCGCTGTGGCTTTAAAAGGGTATAACTCTTAGGAATCTACTGTAAACCTTATCCTAGATCCAACATCAGTGAAGCCCAGAGGTGGATTCGGGGGGGATCGCGGGGGATCGCAGTTCCCCCGGGTGAGGTGCGGGGGCGGGGCACACAACGAAGCCCCGCCCCCTTCTTCTGGCTGCCCCCTGCTTCCAGCCTCATTCTGTTGCAGAAGGAGGAAGAAGCAGGAGGGTAAGTTGGCGTCCTCCCCCTCTGCCTGGCCGAGGCCACTCCACGTGGCCTCCGTAAGGACTCCCAGCCCCATCCAGGAGCTTCCCCGAGGTAGCTGTGTTAGTCTGTTGCTGCAAAATAGTCCAAGAGTTCAAATAGCACCTTTAAGACTAACAAATAGCACCTTTAAGACTAACCTTTAAGACTAAGACTGAGTGGTGGGTGTGGCCTTATGACACACTTCCGGTGATGTCAGGGGTGTGGCATATGCTAATGAGTTATGCTAATGAGTTCCCCTAGCTCTTTTTCTACTAAACGACCCCTGGTGAAGCCATTAAACTACCAGTCCCTTAAACACAGATAAACCTAAGGGAATGTCTCTAAATTATCACCACAGAAGGCATATCTATCGCCTGCTCACACACCACCACTGGCTGGGTCCAAATCATCCAGTGGTGGCATGGGTTTAGGAGCCAGCACCTGGTACCTCCTGTGTGGCTGGTGCCTGCGAATGAGCAGAATTGGTGTCCTCAGTGTGCTGGCCCAAGCAACAGCATGGCCAAAGATATCCTGATCCTAAATATTACTCAAGTACTACTGCTTAGGACTGCAACTTTAGCTGTACAGTTTTATTTAGCATACTGTGGGAGAAAGAACTGAGGGAACTTGGAATTCCAGAGCATCTTCTTATTAAGGAGGCCGTTGTAAGGGCCTGGGGCAAGGGAAATATGGAGGAAACCCAGCATGTGGAAGTTCCATTGCAGCGGAAGGAACACTGAAAACTCTTGCCGTCTAGATGCAGCCACTGATCTCTGCTTCTCCATGTGGCCAGTTAAGCAACTTGGGACTTGTATGAATAACGCCCTTCTGCTTCAGCAATGTGGCAGGAAACAAGAGGAGGGGCTATGGAGAAAGGATGGCATGGAACGGAATGATCCCAAGCTGACGGTGTTCCGACTTCCGTATAGGTGACCACAATGCAATTGCGATAGCAAGTGTGGTGTGCTGTTGCGTTGTCTGGCTCTCCCATGGTGGCCCAATCTTCGGGAAGGTGTATGTCAATCCTTTGTAATACTTGTGCATCTCCGTTAATCTTACTTAGGAAAAGGACAGTTGCTACATATCACACATTTCTCCAACTGCACACACATTTGGCTCCATAGGTACACAAGCAGGGCCAGTCCCGGCTCCCTGATGCACATTCCTGAATGGAACATGAGCACATAAGGAGTGGCTGTTACCAGTTTCATCTGGTTAGTCAGCTGTGCCTTTCCCGAACAGACCTGACCACTGCGGTGCATGCCCAGGTAACAGCAAGTGCTCAGACATTGCCTTTTCCAACACCCCTTTCTCAAGGTCTAGTGCACAAAGTCCACATGATTCATCTTCTTACGTAGACTTTCAAACTTTTCTCGAGAAAGTGGTTTGGTGAGTGCATCTGCAATCATTTCCTCTGTAGGATAGTATTCCAACTCAACAAGCCCTTCTTCTCGCATGTTTCTTACTAGGTGATGCTTCACATCCACGTGTTTAGTTCTTGAGTTGATCTTCTCCATCGGTGCAAGTTTTATGCACCCTTGGTTGTCCTCAAGGAGCTGTACTGACTTGGATTGTTCAGATCCTGGTGGCTGTTCCATGTTTCCCAACCTGGATCTGGCAACCCAATGTGTAAGGGACATATAGCATTCGCCAAAAGGAAGGGAGGGGGTATAATTTAGGAATTTTTAGTCTTTTTTAAATTTAGAGGCCACTCATAACCCAGAGTCCCTAAACTATCTTACGTAGCTTGTGCACAGAGTAGGGTTGCCATCCTCCAGGTGGAGACTGGAGCTCTCTAGGAATTACACCTGGACTTCGGAGAGCAGTTCCCTTGTGGCTGCTTTGGAGGTTGGACTCTATGGCATTATGCCCCACTGGGGTTCCTCCTCTCCCCACGCCCCTCCTCTCTCCAGGCTCTATCCCCAAATCTCCATGAATTTCCCAAGCCAGAGCTGACAGCCCTATGATTAACCTTTGTCTCTTCCCTCTGCCTGATCTATCGGCTCCATTTCACTAGAGACTTTAAGGCAGCGGTTCTCAACCTGTGGGTCGCTGTCAGGATCCACAGCAAAACAACGAAGTACACGCTTCCAGGAAGGTTTTACTTTTATTGAAAAGCCATAGATGCAGTAACATGAACACTATTAGGAATGGCAGGTTACCTATGTGCATAATAGGATATAGGGCATTCGTATGCAAAAAAACCAACCCCCACGTAGTACCCAATTAAGTGGGTTCCCGCGCGCGGCATTTGGCTGAGAACTAACGGCTGCAGAAGCAGGGAAGGGAAGAAGCTTCCCACGAATTGTAGACACATCAACTCCTCCAGTGGCCTTGAAAGATATGCGTCACAGCTAAGATGCAATTAAGCGCATGGGAAGGAATGCACAGCAATTAGAAACATAAACCATACTCTTGGCAGCATAGCTGACAGTCGCGACCCCTTTGGGGATCGAACGACCCTTTCACAGGGGTTGCCTAAGACCATCGGAAAACACAAATTTTCGATGGTCTTATGATAGCAACGAAAATCATTTTATGGTTGGGGGGTCACCACAACATGAGGAACTGTATTAAAGGGTTGTGGCATTAGGAAGGTTGAGAACCACTGCTTTAAGGGGTTGTTGAAGTATCTCCTCCCATGGATTGATGACTTGACAGGCTTTACCCTTCATTCCGCATACCTCGGGGCCTGTCCCTTTCTCCCCCCCCTCCTCCAACCCCAAACCACAACCCCCCTCAAAGTTACACACATCATCAGTTTTGTTTCCTAGGAGTCACGAGGTATGCTCAAGTGTCCCAAAGTGGAACCAGCATATCAAGAATTCCTTTTTTACTTCCTGTTATTATCTTCCGCAAATGGCAGAGGGGAGAAATAGGAAATGCTGAAAATCGGCACCAGTCTTTCTGCCATCTCTATGACGCAGGACGGTGGAACCAGAGCAACAGCGCCCTCAGCTGGATAAAAGGTAAAGGTTCCCTTGCTCGAAAGCCAGTCGAATCCGACTCTAGGGTTGCGGTGCTCATGTCCGTTTCAAAGCCGAAGAGCCAGCGCTGTCCGAAGACATTTCCGTGGTCATGTGGCCGGCACGACTAAACACCAAGGCGCATGGAACACTGTTACCTTCCCACTGTAGTGGTACCTATTGTACAAAATACATATTCTAGAGCTGCCACATTTGATCAACTAACGAATTATCAAAATACTTCGATTAACTAAAAAAGTGCCCTAGTAAATTTTACCAGGGAGATTAATTTTTTCAAAAAGATTATTTGAGTACAATACATAAAAACTGCAGATGTCATGCAAGCAGCATCCTTATCAGAGGCATGCCTTCGATAGTGTGAGCCAAAAGGGAATGCCTCTTTTCAAATGAAGCCTGCTGGAACTGTAGGACTGCCAAGAAGCCAGTAGAAAAATGTCCTGCCCCTTTAGTAGAGGCTTAATGGGATGTTAATTTACCAGGTGATGTTATTTCCCTGCCATACCATGGATGGGTGAAACTACCTGTCTATTTTCACACACTGTCAGGCTTTCCAATCAAACATTCAAGAAGAGTGAGAAAACGAGGAGGCCCAGCACCCTCCCCCCAGATTCCATTACATGGCAGCACTAGTTGATATCCTGCCCCCCCGACCCCTCCCCCCGCCTCCCCTGGAAAAGCGGAGTGAAAGTCCTGAAAGTCTTGAAGGAGCCGAGGGGCACTGACATCCGAAGCCTCCACCCATTCACGATGTTCCAGGCCAAAATCAGTCCACTCCACTAGATAAAAGAGACGTACCTGCCTCATTTCCGAATCCAAATATGAGAGATTTCATAATGCTGATCGCCATTCACCATCGGGGGGGGGGGGCAAGGAGCGTTGAGGTCACCAGACGTTGGGCCCTGGATCCTTTTTCAAGAGACTGAAGTGAAAAACAGGATGCAAATGTTTAAGGGTTTTAGGGAGGGCCAGTTCAACAGTCACCTCATTGATTTTCCAAGTAACCTTAAACGGGCCCACATACTTCCACCCCAACTTGCAGCTCAGTTGCAACCCTTTAATGTTCTTGGTGGAAACATACACAGAGTCCCCTGGTTGAACATCCCAGCCCATAGTCCGTTTCTTGTTGGCCTGTATCTTATAAGCCGCCTTGGCTGCTTCCGGAGATTTCTCCACCAGGGGCCAAGCCTTATGGAGATTCGCACACCAGTCCGCAACCTCCCCCCCCTGCAAGTCATGGTCTGTCAAAAAGGGGAGGGGGCCCCCTCATAGCCATGGTTAAGTGCGCGGACTCTAATCTGGGAGAACCGGGTTTGATTCCCCACTCCTCCACTTGCTCCTGCTGGATGACCT